TATCTATCTATCTATCTATCTATCTATCTATCTATCTATCTATCTATGCATCTATCTATGCATCTATCTATGCATCTATCTATGCATCTATGCATCCATCCATAACAAAATGTTTGAGAAGAGAAAATAATATGATGGTTCAAATAAAAACTTTCAGTTTATTATTGTATGTGCAGTAAATATTTAGTTTGTTTAATTTACAAAGTATTTATTTATTTATTTATTTATTTTGAGCAGGGTATACCTTCAAAGACATAAGGTTCGTGTCTTTGTCCATTTCTGCTTACAACACCTGGAGCTCCCCAACTTCCTTTTGAAGTGCACCTTAGAGAAATAATTAGGATTTTGACAGATGTCTATAAGTCATGAGAGGCAGGAACAGGTGACCCATTCTCACCCAAAACTGATGACACAGCTTACCTTGACAGCTGAACGAGCTGCTCGGCTCCACCCTCTCCCAATCTGTCCGTGTTTGAGTGCTCACCAGAGGAATAAATCTTCCATCGGATGCTCGAACCTCCATGAAATGTGGTGATGCTGCTCTGCTCAGAAGACCATGACAGGATGGGAAAAAAAAATCTATTACTACAGCAATTTTAAATCATCTTCATTAAAACACACTAACAAACCTGAACTGCAATGTAAATTAACACGAAGCAGGTCATACTCACTAAATATAAAAACAAAGAAATGTACTTGTTTATTTGGATTCAAATCCTGTAGCTGTGGTGACTGCTAGGTGCAAGCATTCTGCTGATCTAGCAAGGTCACATGCTGAAATCCCTATAAAGCTAAAATACACATAATCAATACTTGCTGTGTTATCATAATAAATATTTAATGAAGCTCAGGGACTCATTTAAGCTCTTCACAGATCAGTCAGGGCATTCTAAGCAGAAAGGGCAGACAGGCCAATAAAATAAATCTAAACCAAGTTGTCAGAACTAAAATCAGGACATAATGACAAGAGACTGGCAGAAAGCAAAGAAAACTGGGGGACTGATTACGGTAAATTACATGTTAAAGCCAAACAACAGCGTACATGCATTACACAATAAGAGGAATTTCAAAATAAAACAAAATGCCGGCCTAAGCACAGAACATGAACAACTCAAAATAGAAAGGAAATGCAAAAATATGATTTGCGTATCCAAATGAACAAACAAAGAAGCTACAAAATAAAACTATTGAGGTGGATTATATAATAATACACTTGTACAATTTGTAGTTTATAGCTACGTCCAACATTCAGGGCCACATTCAGTGGGTACTTTCTCAAAAAGCACTTGAAACGCAAATTATCTTGAGAATGAACTCATCACTGTTCATTGCAGTGAGGAATTTTGAACATTTCAACATGCCATCATTAATCATTTTACAAAAAATAAAAAAATAAAAAAATAAAACTACACTGCATGCAGGAGCATTGTTTAGCAACAAATATTAAACAACAACAGTTATGTCAAAATGTGGGTTAAAAAAGAAGCGATGAACACCTCCAGTAAGGGGTTGGCTTCAAATGAGAGCATGCCACATTTAGTCAGATTGCAGCTTCTTGCAGATTTCTTTCAGCCCCTGATGAGATGGACTCTTGTGGTTCACTCCAGTGGCCTGCATAGAAAATAAACAAAAATATGTGTTAATGTGCAGAGAACAGACAGACAAATACAGCTGTCACAGTTTTTTAATTTGCAACTCACCTTTCTCTGTTCTTGAGGAAAAAAAAAAAAAATGCCAGCACGTACTTTCTCAAGGTCATTTGTCAATGTCTCGTGTTCCTCCAGGCTCTTCAAGTTGTCATAAAACTGTCGAGAGGAGAAGTCACCTTCTCTTGGACTCTCAGGAGAGACAGAGGCAGCTTTATCCTGATGGGACGGAGACAGACTCATGTTTTCAAAATGTGAAATGTCAAATGAAGCGGTCTCCAGACAAAACCTTATAAATAAAAGCACATCCATTCCTCTGTTATTATGTTGTTGTTCAAATGCAGCTGTTTGGCAGCAGTTGTGCATTAACTAGTTGTTTAAGTTAAATTAGTTTTGACTTTGCTATTTAATTGAGCTGCTTGAGGTTTTGTTTAACTCTGCAAATCTTTTGTTTTATCTAAATTAAAAAACGTCAGGTCATTTGAATAAAATGTATTAAATGATTGAACTAAGAAAAATCACTTTCTACTTAACTAGTATTACCTGTTGAAGTGCTTTGTTTTAGTACAGTAACTAACTTTAAGTGATGTGTCAGCCCCATTTTATTCAACTTATTATGCCGTCTCATTGACATAGATGACAGGGTTTTGTGTGAGAAATGTTGCTTTTGCTTTTTCTAATGATTTTTTTGTACAAGTGAAATTATATTATGACATATTCCATTTGCACCCAAAAGTCAACATGCCCACATGTCAAGGTTCAAAAAAGTAAAATCTAATGCACCCTAAAGTCAAAATTCTGATTCAGAAACTTGGGGATTTCTGATGTTTCTGGCTGTCACTGATCTGAAAAATCCAATATGGCTTCTTCTCTCATGACAAGCTGTGTTAGCTGTAGTAATATCCAATTTGTCAACACTTCTATCAGTTTGAGGCAATCAGGCAAAAAGAGCACTGTGACTCTTATGTACATAATTGTTAAATACATAAATATGTATCATCATAATAATCAAATGTACAATTATTGCATAAAACTACAACTTAGCATTACTGGCTTGGACAGGTCTTCATACAATAGTATGAACATATAATGTTTAAACACTAAAAATGTTTTTATATAAATGTTAGAAGTGATATTAGGTAGAAAGTTAAATATATGTTACATAAACATATATATATATATATATATATATACATTGCAAAAGACAGAGATGTTATCGCTAGCG